ATATTGTGTGTTTTTTATTTTTTCTGTTTCCTCTTTTTTTATGTAAGTGCTCCCTACGGGTAATATTTCTTAAGGTATAAGATGTTGATAGGGTCGGGTATTTCCAACCCATCTTGGTTTCTTAACCTGTAAGAATTGCCTGGATGAACCCTGGTTACTACGAATGGTCTTTTCCACTTAGGTTTGAATTTTCCCAGTAGGTGTGGGTTCGCAGATGAATGAAATATTTTCTTTAATACCATCTCGCCAACTTGGAATTGCCTTGGAATGACCTTTTTTAGAATGGCTTGCTCAATGTGCTTATGGTAGCTTCGCATAGTGTTGCAAGCTTGGAGTCGCCTCTCATCTACAGTGAGAAAGGAGGTTAACCGTGCTTCATGTATTCCATTTTCATCTATAGTGCGATGAACAAGTATCCTATGAGAAGAGATATCGATTTCAACAAGCGTGACCCCCTCCATACTGTAGACTAGTGAATATGGGTCATATCGGGATGAGTTCTATGTTGATGGCGGCCCTTCGAAACAAAGGAAGGGAAGCTTGATGGGCCCCATGGTGGGCGCCAGACTGTTTATACTTGAAATTACGTGCAAGGGACTATGCACTGCCTTGAATTCGGGTGCAAACAAATCGATGAGTTGGTAGAGTATGGGTCCCGTCAAATTACACTTCGAGGGAGAATCGGATCCTAAAACCTTATCCCCCTCGGACTGCCGACAACGCCGGCTTCCCCACTATCTTAACCTTGGAACTCAACAAAGAAAGTTTTAGAAAATGGGGTTTAAGCTAAAAAAAAGATTTTAAGAAAATAGATTTAAAAAGAGAACTTTAAAAAGAGAACAAAGGAAGAGAACTATAAATAAAACTAAACTAAAAAGACACAAATAAACAGGAGTAAAAAATCTAATTATGAGATACAGTAAGAATAAGAAATTAAAGGGCATAGAAACAAAATAGTGAGTCTAACCTAAGCATACATGACATTTAATGAAAGAGAGAGATAATAATATGAAAATACAAGCATGGTTACGAAGAAAGATAAGGATAAGAACCTCATCAACAAGGCAAAGAGTTATGAGCATGGAATGCGAATAAGGATATTAATATCATGAGGAGAAATAAAATGGAAGAGAGGGAGAGGGAAGAAAGCTAATATTAATAAATAACATGCAATGCTAATAATAAAACTAAATATAAGAAAGAAATAAGAAGAAGGTCATAAGGATGAGTGTTAAGATGAATAAGATAGAGAGAAATAGGGAATAATTGATTAAGAGGGGAGTAGTAGACCCTAGATGGATGCAAGTTCCTAATAGAAGATAGTGAAAAGCAAGAAAGGTAAATATAACAAGAAGAGACAGAGAGATTAAGCTATTAAACAAAATATAAGGGTAAAGAAAAAATAAGTATGAGAGAAGATAGGGAATGAGAGGGATGGAAGAAATTTACATTATTAAGTAAATAGGAAGAGAAAAGAGGAATAAACACACCGATCAAAAGAAATAAATATAACAAGAAAAGAAAATACCATCACAAAATAAAGGAGATGAAAGATAGAGGTGAGAAGAGAGAATCTATGCTATCAAATGGGGGAAACAAAGAAGAGACATAGAGGTAACAAACCAAGAAGAGTATTTACTATGAAAGGACGGAAAATCACTATTTAATGCAGAGAGAAATGAGAAAAATAGATATCTCTATTATCAAAGTAATAAGGAGAGAAATAGGAGTAAATACAATGATCCTAACTAAAAATAAATGTTGTTAAGAAATGAATAAAGTCTACTTAATAAAGAGGGTGATAGATAAAGAAAAAAAGGGGTTTGTTTAGAAAAAAAGATCCATGATACCAAACAAGGGAACAAAGAAGAGTAATAAATACATTAAAACAAAAGGAATAAATACAAACTAACAAAAGGGGAAATGATCATGCAATGAGAAGATAAAGAAAGGAAAGAAAATATCAAATATAACTAACTATGCATATTAAAGACTACATTAAATGAGAAAATAAGGGAACATAGATAGGATCATAAATAGAGGAAAATGGGGAGAATCTATATAAAAATAACTAAAAGATGAATAAATGCATGAATCAAAAGAAGAAGAAAAAAATAAAAGTTAAATCATGAAATGAAGAAAGGAAAGAAAAAAACCATAACTCTAAAATAAATGCTAGAAAAATCATTGAAAAAGAAGAAGAAAAACAACATTTTGGCTGGGCTGTCAGGCCCCGAAGTCCAGAATTGGTGGTGATTCAGATCGTAAAGTTGCACAATTAATCTCAAACTTTTTTGGTTTTTAACGGGGCAAATGAAAATGGGAAGAAGATGCCCTGGAAGGTCTAATAATCCAGGCCACCTTTGATTTGAAGTGTAGCTTGAAGGAGTTTGTAGTTGTAGTTTTAGAATAAAGCGTTTGATAGGATGGGGGTTGCTCAAATGGGCTCACCTTGGGGCTCTTCTCTCAACCTCAAGTATAAGGTTAGGCCTTCAAAACTTCGATGACACTTGGATTGGCGCTAGTTGGAATGACGCCATGTCATTAATGTTGTAATAATGATGGTCAGTGAATATTAATTGCTCATTAATGTAGATTCTATACAACTTGTCAGAATCTAGTGCCAATGGCAATGGCGCCGGCAACATTCTGAGTGCATTTAAATACTATTCAAGACACATGTCACATTCTGGTGGCTCTGATTTGGTTCAGATGGACCAATCGCAATTTGAAGCTATTCCGACTATCATCGGCGACATTCAAACTATCGCCAGATACTAGTTGTCCCGCTGTCTTGGTTGTATCTTTGACTAATCATCAACCAATGGAAGTTCGATAACCTCGCTTTGTACTAACGCATGACATATCAGTACATGCATGCCATGTCGGCGAGTATGGACTTACATGTCAGCTCGTCACTTCAGTCACATTGACCATGTTGTATCCCGCCTGGGGTAGGTCTCGAGACCTGGCGCTGGTGGCCTCTTGATCCTGTTGTAGCTTAAACATGAGCGCCTAGGTCTTGGCACCATTTGGACTAGTGATGGCACCAGGCTTTTGGTCCCCCAGGTCGCCCATGCTGTGACTACGATACCTTTGGTACCTCACTGTCAGACTTTTGGTAGGGCTTTGGTGCCCTGTTGAGGTAACACTATAGCTTTTTCTTTTGAATGCTTCATGTTCAGGCCGCTTCGGATCTGTCTCGCCTTGTTTTGCCTCTTGACGCCTTTGGTCTCACTGGAGCAATAATGGTTTGGTGGAGGCTAGGTTACGAAGAAGGGGTACTACTGGGGTGAGTGGTCTAAAATACTCGGATGGTCTGCCTGAGACATTTCAACCTATACACAACTTTTCCAATCGAGATCAGGTGTCTACAAAATGCCAGTGGTGCGGTTCAGTTTTGAGGACATAGTGGTTTATTCATTTGCTGCCACAAGCCAAGAGCTATCCACTTCTAAAGAAGCTACATGGGATATTGACAGTAGCAGGTAAAGTAGTGTTACGGATGAAAAAATAGAGTCTCTTCAGAAGAATCGTACTTGGGATCTCGAGAAGTTGCCTAAAGGCAAGTGAGCCATTGGATGTAATTGGGTTTATAAGAAAAAAAATATGTCACTTGAGATTGGTATTAATGGGTTTAAGGCATGTTTGGTAGCAAAAGGCTATGTGCAAGTGAACACAAGGTGAATACCCATGAGGACGAGTGTGGAGACGACGGTCGTTGGTTATTTCTTTTAGAATTCAAGCCAAGGAGGAGATTTGTTGATAATTGACTTGAATCCTTAATTTGTGGAGACAACGGTCGTTGGTTATTTCTTTTAGAATTCAAGCCAAGGAGGAGATTTGTTGATAATTGACTTGAATCCTTAATTTATGGTATCGGTTTTCCTTTCAATTTGGATTTCTTAATGTTTGGATAGTTCATATTATTTAGCATGATTATCTTTTGGTTTAGTCCTGGTTAGGTTATGATAGACATGTAAGTCTATAGATAAAGATAAAGTTTGGAAGTCCAAAAAGTAAGGGAAAAGCCAAGGTTTGTACTTACAACTTTTTGGGGGTCCTTTTTTATTTAAACTTGCTTTTGTAGAGAACAGGTGTGCAATGAAAAGAAAGAAAATTTTGGGTTTGGGTTATTTTGTAGAAAGAGAAAATTGCAGATATAGAATAAGGGTTGGTGAGAGAACATTGTAGAGAGAGAATAAGGCTTGGTGGGAGACTGACTTTTGTCTCTAGTTCTCTCAAGTAAGTGCCTTGTAATTTTTATTTTTTTTATTTAACAGAAAAACATCGATCGTTTTCGCCCATAGTTATAGTTACATCTGTGATGAACCGCGTAAATTATGGTGTTCTCTTTTTCTGTTATTTCTTTCGTATTTTTACATTTGTAACGAACCATACTAAACAAACAATGTTTGCAGATACCAGATTGTACTTGACGATTTAGGTCAATCGGTTGGAAAAAACCCATGTTTTCTAGGCATAAAGAACAAATCAAGAAGGGTTCTAATGGATTAGCCCTTGATGAGGTCAGAGAATATGCTAAGATAAGTGAGCCGAGGGACTGTGTGACCCTTGTGTGTGATGGTGGCCTACAGAGACAAGGGTCAAAACCTCATCCATGTACCATCACACGACATGCATATCGATAGATTGTTCGAAAAAGCCAAAAATCTACCTTTTAGGGTGAAACGTATGCATGTACGAGAGATACCCATATGCGTCATA